CCCCATATATATATACCTATATATAGAAAATCAGTTAATGCACGTCTTACCTGAACATAGCTGTAAAACCCCTGCTGCCCTTGCAACGGACGGAGTGACTGCACCTCTAACACAAAGTGCCAAAATACCTGTGAAGGCCACTAGCATGGCAAGTCCGCACCCCACCCCAAGAATCAATGTGGCTATTTGCCATGATATGCTGGGTATATCCAGAAACGTTGTATATCTTCCACACTCCATCACCATCTCTGTTCTTCCCTCCACTTGACGGGGATAGTTACACCGGCGGAATACACCGAAATACACTGGGGTTTTGTTTGTCATGTGTCCAGACAACCAATAAGGCATGTAAAATCCAATACTGGCACCAACAGAGGCACAAAAGGACACGATCGCCCAAAATATTCCAACTCCTGACAAGTTGCTCATGGCTTTGTGCAGGTAATTACCGATTCAATTTCAGACAATTCTTCCAGGTATATCCAATCAATTTCGATACAGTCTCAATTCGTCGATATCTCTTTTTTTAACGTTGCTGAGTATATAGGTAAAAAAAAAAACCCTCATTTAATTGTCAACTATACAGTTTTACAAATTGAACAAAATTATTTGTGGAAATTTAAATGAAATAACATACTGATCCTCGAGACACTGATCAGCATAAACAGGGTTTATTTTTTTTTTTTTTGGTGCATTTTCAACCTGAACAGCACCAAAATTCCATGTGATGCATGTTTTAATCCAGCGGTAGTAGCGACGGTTTTTTACGAAATTATATTTTTATAATATTTAGCAGAATAAGTTTCTATTATTAAAAATAGGCGGTTCTTTGCAATCAGATAAAAGTAAATGAGATACACAAATAGCTGACAATATTTCAATGCGCGTGCTGAATGAAGCTCGCGCTAACTTCTGTGATTTGGATTAAAGATTTGAGCTGACAATTCTTTTGATGTTCATCTTAATCAATAAATTGAGGGCGCCCTCTATTTAGGCAATGGATGGTTCATCTGCTGTTTACACTTCATCTTGTTATAATGTTATCCATTGAGATACAAAATGATAAAATTCACAAAGAAACAGTACATAGTGCAATAGGTAAAAATGTCTGACCGAATTTCACACTCCGCTCATTCGCAGTACTGCACGTCTCAATGGGTTACGGATACAATAATATACGACTGTTCTCTAGCTGTGAGTACCTCAACCAGCCAATCAAACAATACAAAGAACACAGTTGTTATAGTCTATTTCAAAGAAGCAATGCGTTCAGCGAGCCCAAAGAACGATATTAAATGAGAAACAAACAAAACAAACAAACAAAAAACAAAAACATAAGCTTCATTCAACAGAGTACTTATTGATATAAGTAAATACAGTATTTCATCTCGAACCATAACCAAATATATTCATTTGGGAAATCAAAATTCTAATTAGATTTAGAGAATGCATTCCTGTAACAATAAGAATAATATTGTATAATCGATTTTCATACACAACAAATTCGGCACCATGTTAGTAAGATTCTTCGCACAGATGTAGTAACAAAACAGTAAGTCTGATTGCAGATGGTCAGACTAATATGGTATATAAATTGATCTCCCTTTGGAATGCTGACTGGGCTCCAATTTGTGCAACAGAAATAGCTAATCAATGTCACACGTACTCAACCCTTCTGAGATACATATGTTTCTTGTCATTGTCATTACTAGCAGACAGAAGTGAAATCCGGTGGTGCATTAGGATCGGAACGAGAATTATATAATTATATTTGGGAGAATGCAATTAAATTACGGTTTCCACTGATGAATGTTTTGTAATTCGCTATAATTTGAATTGAGAATGGGGTAGATATGCCTACCTCTCTGATAAAATCTCTCGCCAGCATCTGACTTAATTTTACCCAAATTCAGTAGATCGTATCAAGTGTAACTTTTAATGCATCATCATTACAAAACTAATTTAAACCTCAAAAAAAACATTTCTACATTTCCATCCTCTTTTTAAATGAAGATTTAAAATGTGAGGTATTTCACACCCGGTAGAGAAAGAAAAACAGATTTCAATATAACAGACTGCATTACCCCTTTTAAACCCGGAATGTTTGTACACTGTATAACATTGTAAACCAGCTCCTCTTCTTAATATCTGTGCATTGATCTGAACAGAAAAGAATGGTACACTGTCTGTTTTAGGTTATTGACTTGTGTATATTTGGAACCCAAACACCGATGTCGTAAGATAAAATTAGCTAACATTGGTATAATTTCTACTTGACATGAAATTGTATCAAAAATCACCGTGGCATCTAACTGTTTTGATATGCGCATTGTATCTGATCAAATCTTACATAATGCGATTGCCAACTTCTAAAACCAAGTTAAAATTTGAAGAAAAAAATCTTTCTATATTACAAAAGGTTTATTGGGTTTGACGCCATTTTTCAGCACATGATGAGCTTTGCATTGAGACCTGTTTATCTAGTGTAGGGAAAAACAGACACACACCCCCCTCCGGAATAACCATAGACCCACACAAGTACGTTACATACTGAAAAGCGTTATCACAATCCCACATTGGTCTAGCAGAGATTCGAACACAGAGGTGACATGACAGTGATCTGTAAAGGTTATCACCTTATACCACTCGGCCACACCGGTGCCTTTACATTTAAAAAAAAAAAAAACGAGGAAAACCAAGTCTGGTAAAATCCTTACTGGCTAAATATTTTCTAATTGACAACACTTTATATACAAAACCTCCTAATAATAGCTCTTTATATCGGCCAGGATTCGTTGAAAAGAGGACGATAGTTCATGTTGTACATTTTCCAGAATTTAATCATGTCTCACTGTGACATAAGCAGGTTTTTGACATTGAAAAATATATATATAATTTCTTGTTTTCCTTTTTAATTACTGTGAAGTTGGAGAACCTTACGGTATCTTAAAACCTGGCCTAGTTTTAACGCACGATAAACTAGTCCGCAATTCATTCCCTTTAACAATTGTGCATAGATACATTCACACAATAGGTCTCCTGGAATCCATAGATTAATCTATTTAATCCTTTAATCCTATAGTGTTGCGACTCTGATAGTACCTGGTATATATAACTTGCTGTAAATATATGTGCTTTGTACCAGGATAAAATTTCAATCGTCTAATATTTACTTGAACACTTAAATGTCACGTTATCTTCGATTAAGCCCGAGTCCCTCGCTCTGTGATTGTATTCGGCTTGTGTTCAGCGTGATTAACCCTAATATGAATTCATCGCCAAGTTGTTTACTTTTCAGATTTTGTCTAATCTTTGCCCTGAATATTACTTATATAATGCAAAGCAAACAATGCATGGCAAAAGCTTTCATCTTTGCCCTGCCTATCGCTTATAAAAAGCAAATCTAACAATGGATAACAACAGCTTTTAAAGCGCAGGGATACTGGGGGGGGGATCAAAGGAGGAAATTAATTTTATGCAGTTGCTGATGGTAAATCTCCTTAAAAACGAGTACATTTCAAATTCAGGAAATTATTATGAAATTAGGCATATTCCATTAGAGACATATGACACAGGAAATCGTGTAAGCAAAATATTAACACTTAGAGCCACAGTTTTACAATAATTCTCTCTCTCTCTCTCTCTCTCTCTCTCTCTCTCTCTCTCTCTCTCTCTCTCCTTCTCTCTCTCTCTCAGGGTTGTTAAAAAGTGGCTGAACATTGATTAATTTATTAATTTAAGTTTGAACCTATTATAACTTCTTTAAATCAATTTTATAAAAATGTTCGGTGTATCGTTGTCCGACAGCCATCGAGATCCTACGATCCACGCGAAATACTATAAACATCACACGCACACTCAAAACATTGTAGCGACAAAAATGTTATCTTTCCAGCGAATTTTATTACGGTTGTTTGGCTAGATCACAGCAAAATTTTGTCCAAAAAAGAAGCTCTCGGGTGTGATCGTAGTGCATATGCTAGTATGTCATACATGTAGATACTGTAATTACCGTGCGATTCAAAAAATTCTTCTGCAAGTGTGACATTCACTAATTCCGGTTTTAACTGTTGTTTGCATGAATGTTTATTCAGTGCCGTTTTAAGGCATAAGCTGGCGAGGGCCCCGCGCAGCAATGGTCCCCGCGGCGGCCCAAAAACAAAATTTCGGTCTCGGTTTTGTTAGCAGTTTAGTACTATATTATTAAATTTAACAAAATGGCACACGTGCGCATGGAAATGTAATGCAATACTCTATATCTTAGACTGAGAGATTGACGCGCAATTCTGGTTACTTTTAAGGTTAGAGTTATTTTGTGCCTAGGGTTCCCAAACTTCTTAAAACGGCTCCGTGTTTATTTGCATGCGTCTCGTGTCAGTTTTGAATGCATAGATGCTGGTTTATCACGGAAAGTGTGACAGGGTCGCACAAAGTATTGAAATATATTATGATACATTACTAAAATAATATACAAAATAGGGGCATTTCAGTGTCGTATTTTAGTTATCTAGCACAAAATGTGGAAGACATCAGTTGAGAATCACTGAAGTGGTAAATTAATATTTGAATATCGCATTAAAAATACTATCAATAATTTAACAGACAACATGCCATTCAAATAGTCGGTTTTGACCTTGCCATGAATATGGGTCACCGATCTTAAGTGCCCTGAAAGCCTTAATTCGTCACTGAGTGAGTGTCCCCCCACCCACCCCAAAATCACTGTGTATGTCATGTTTTGATTCTTTTATATATTTATCTGATGCGCGCTGAAGTTTATTACTCTCACATTGAAACCGTTTGACCCTCAAGTCATGGCTGGTCGGGATCTATGTCTGATATGCACGAATATCGCGTATAATGACACTTATCGAAGATCTTCATGACATAAACAGATTTACCAAGATTTATCGAAATCGCATGATAAGTATTACAGTATCCGAAGAGGCAACAAGTTCACACATTCAGATGCAAGATCACTTTATTGTTAGATCCGACCCGGTGACCTAGCGGTTAGAGCGTCCGCCTTGGATGCGGGAGGTCGTGGGTTCGAACCCCAGGACCAATCATACCTAAGACGTTTAAAAAAATGGAATCTAAAAGTTGCCTCGCTTGGCGTTCAGCATTAAGAGGTTAGTGTTTGGCCTGGTTGGCCTGGTGTCAGGATAATGTGACTGGGAGGGACATAATGACACATGCCTGCGGCATGATGCCTTAGTGCTAAACATCACTATAAACCATCACACTACAGACGTAGTATTTGTTTGTTTGTTTGTTGTTGGGCTTAACGCCATTTTTCAGCACACGATAGGCTATTCATGGCGGCCAGTATTAATGGTGGAGGAAGAAACCGGGAAATCACCGGAAAGAACCACCGACCCACGAGAAGCTACTGGCAAGCTTTCTCACATATCTACATTAGCCGAATCCTAGACTCGAACACACGCAGACAGACGTGAGATGGCAGTGATCCGTAACGGACAGCGCTTTAGACCACTCGGCCACTCGGGGCCCCCACAGACAGACGTAGTAGCGATGACTGAAAAATTGTTAAAGCTATGTTTAAAAATCTAAATCAATCACACACGCGCGCGCGCTATTATTATGCGCTGATCTCGTTTATTGTAAACCTGTCTTAGACATATTAACACAAGTATACTTGACAAGTTTTGATCAAAATTAAATTTACTCTAGAGTTGTAACAAGCTCAGAGATTGTGGGAAACATATTGAAGATATTAACCTACTTGTATAGTTTCATGAAATCCTATCATACCTAATATCTAGAGTGGTAACAACCTCAGGTAAAATCCTATCATACATGGTATCTAGAGTGGTAACAAGCAAAGGTAAAATCCAATCAAACATATCATCAAGAGTGGCAACAAGCCCAGGAAATTAGATGCTTCTTGGCTCATTTTACATCATGTTCCAGGTAGGATCAAAATTGGGTTTAAAATGACGCTTCCCCCACACCCGAATGGCAATAATTTCAACCACGCAAAAGGACGATATTGCTTATAATATAACTCACTAGACTCTCGTTGATGCCATCAGCCTATGTATTAAGTTTTATCAAAAGTGGACCAGGAATATGACCTCAGGAAATCATAACTATATTGATCTCATTAATATGTGGGCTATCGCTTGTTGTGGAGCTGGTCAGATATCTTGAATAAGCCTACATGCCACGTTTGATACAAATTGAAAACATTGCAATTACTGTAGTAAGAAAATCAATCCATTGGTGCAAGACTACCTATTAATATCCTCATTCATCAAACGAGATCTTGTTGAAATCATCTATTACAAATTTCATGGAAACCGGATAAAAAAGAGTTGTGAAAGGTAAAGTTTGTCTAGTGGATATGTTACGAGTCCATGCTCTTACAAAAAGTAGCAGAAAATAGTGAAGCCAACAAGCTTTGTAAACTTTAAAAAAATCAATTATTTCTTTAGAAAATCAAGACAAAAATGAGAAAAAAAAAACCTACCGGTTTTACCAATCAAATCCAAAATTAATCGAAGAATAAAAAAAATAGAAGTCATGTTATTAAAATGTTTTAAATGAATCTGATTTCGAGTCCTGATGAAATTCAAAAATATGGAAGGCGATGACATCTTTTGCAATCTGCGAAGCCCTGTTGAGTCAACAGTTCCCTGTTGAATCACAGAAAATAATATCACAGTTTGGAATTCCCAATAAATTTCAATGATGTCTTTATCCAAGAATTTTGTAGGAGCTCTTGTATTTCCAGGGAAAATAATCACTTGAAAGTCAGTAAATAAAAATTCAATATATATTTGGAGCCCGACTGGATAATTCTTATCATAACATGAGTTATAAGACTAACTAAAATGCAAAACAGGTTCCCGGATGAGGACCAAAAGTTAATTCATCTGAGAAAACCAAAGGTTTGAAACAATAAACACGTTATTTATCACGTACTCCATATATGGCATTGCTTCACCTTAACAATTCTTACTATGAAAATGAATAAAAAGAATTTTAAAAGTTGTTTACTAAAACTCGCTGGTTCTAAATCAAGGTCAGAAACTAGATATAGCGAATCTAATACTGGTTGTTTATCAGTAAAATAAAAATGTCAGGTCAAACAGAAATGAACTGAATTTCTGGACAATGTCAAATCCGTTAAACAACGTTACATTACAAATGCATATAACTGAATATAAAAACGATTAAAACTAACAAACAAATAATTAAATTACATTTGGGTTTATTAAACTCATAGGAGTAAGTATGTTTTAATTTGTTAGTGTCAGGAGTGGAGGGGTACGTGCTAATAGTGTATACCTTGATGCTATATACAATGGATATATTCAAGGACGAAATGTGGATATCTTCATAAGAATAGCTAGACGAGCGAAAGGCGGAGAGGGAAAATATTTTTTGTATAATATATAAGCTCTCCTATATACATTTCCTACTTCGTTTCGTTTTTGAATAGGTTACACTGCATCGTTTTATACTTTAAAGAGCTTTAATAAATTTCTCATTTTTTCCACACCGATTATCATGGTTGATTAAAATAATACCTTGTATATCTTAGCTATTATTAACAAAATATTTGTTTCCATTATTTCGGCTTATGATTGATCGATGTAACTTGGGTGATGGTGTGTACGACTCTGTGATCTTAAATTAAGTAATAGAAAAACAAATCCATCAATTTTCGTAAAATCAACAAATAATATATTTCTTTAAGTTTTAAAACGAAAATTTAAGAGGATCTCACGTTATTATGAATTATATCCCAAAAAATCATAAAACATCCATACCAAGTACAAAGTTTAATGTTTCTAATGAACCCATAGTCTTGAATGTGCTGATATATCAGTAGTCTTGATGTATAGCAATGATGTTATCCAGAATCTCTTTGAATCACAACATTCCCAAAATAATTATAATTTGGTCAATGATAATTTTGTAATTCTAATGAAAAGTTTAAATAATGATTCCTCTTAAGCTGCAAATAAATTTAACTAAAATGAGTCACTATAATGATCATAACTTTTTGTTTTATCAAAGCCTAATTTAAAAACCTAAACGACAATACAGTAACCAGGATGAGGGTCATGTTCCGATAAAATTCGTAAACTAGCTTGCTTCTAGAACACTCTAATGTCATACTCAAGGCTAGGCCCTGAACCCAAATTTTAGAATATACGTTGCTTACCAATGATCATTATTATGATAAAGTATAATATAAATCATGGACAAAAGTTAAGGATATTATACAAATTAGATATACATAGCAAAAGAGTATACAGCTTGGCCTTACTTTACACGTACGCAGAAAACCTGCTACTTCTGCTTGGTCTTTTTCACTTCCTGGACTTTCAAAGTTAAATTGCAAATAAAATGAGTCTATAACTATTTTTTACTTTCTACTTTTTATACATTTTGTAACTCATTCATTACACTTTCAGAGGCTGGCATTCGTTTTCCTTATTATATGAAATACAAGCTTCAGTGTGCTTTGGACTAGTTAAGGCTGATTTTCGAGCACATATGAGCAACCATTTTGGTTATCTGTATGTTTAGATCTGTACAATTTCACAAGTACAGTATGTAACGAAATTCGAACTACAGTACATAAAATTAACATAGAGGATCGCTGACATTCTCTCCCTGTGTATATTGTAAATATAAATAACCTCACCTTACACCTGTCACTCTGTCAGGAGTACTTAATATCTGTAGAGTGACCCGATCTTACTGAGATTAGAGGACTAACACGAAATATTAGTATGTCAAATCGAATGTTAACCGGCGCTGTTTTTGTTAGTAGTTCTTTTAAAAACACACGGTACTAATGGAATGGAAAAATGGGAACCAGCCTGGAAATGGGTGAACATTAAACACAGTATATGGGTTTGGGTGGCCAGGATTGGTTAACAATGTTACATTTCAGGAAAAGAAACTTTTAAGAGCTTATCCTAGTTGTAAGTGGCAAAAAATACAGACATTGATTTATTGATGGAATTTCACTCCTTTTACAGTCATTAGTTTGGAACACTCATTATTAAATTAGCACCGGACTCTTTGGCACGGAATTGAAGCACATATTTCAAACACATACAGGTCCATAAAATGCCATTTTTCGAATCATTTCCTCTACAGAGAAGCGGAAATCAGGATTCATCTATACTGATAAATATAGCTTTGATCATGAGCACTCAGAAATTTTAAGTTATTGAATTTTTAATATCATGGTGTTTGTATTTGCATAGGTTTCTATGGGGACTGAATTAGTACCGTGATTCCTTAAGCTGCCATTTGGGATGTTATCACTACGCCACGTACTGCTCTTAATTTGAGAAATCACTGTTTTGAAGGTTTTGATAAAAGATTGGTATGAACTATACCTCATCTTATTCTCTCCATGTTAATTTCCTACCAAGCGTCGCATCCATTGCAATTGCATGGTGGCTGTTTTGTTCTAATTATATGTAAATACAACTTTGTATTTCTTTTATGGTGCTCAAAGATATTTGGCACAAATTTGGGCACCCACGCCATCATACCTCTAATTTGTCAGCAATATAAGTGATCAATCGCTGTCTTTGCAAATTTATTAGAAGTTGACAGATTTTTTGCCGTTTGTTGAGATAGAACGTGTGGATGTTGCATGTATGTATGTTTGTTTCGAGTGTTTCAAATAACAATAGGCGTATAAATTTAGTAGAACTAAATTGGATTAAGTCTCCACAAATAGTACTCTCTCTCTCTCTCTCTCTCTCTCTCTCTCTCTCTCTCTCTCTCTCTCTCTCTCTCTCTCTCTCTCTCTCTCTCTCTCTCTCTCTCTCTCTCTCTCTCTCTCTCTGTAGATAACGCTTTACTACTCATACTAAAGGAGTAAAGACCACATTGCAAAACAAAATAGAAATTGAGCTTAGATTCGTAACTTTTGAAGCTGCAAGAAAATCCACGTTTGTTTCTGCCTAGAAAGATTATTTACAACATCAGTGAATTGGACCATAATACAGTCTTACGATTTTTATCGACCCTGCCATATTATCAAGACAAGAGAGCCTTTTGTGA